ACTTACGTAGCAATCCAGACACCCTCGCGGATCTTCTTCTGAATGGTGTACCTGCTGGCGTTTCCGAGCAAGATTTGGCCAATCTCGAGGGACGGGGTCCCGAAGGCGGCGAGACCTCTGGGGATCATTTTCGGGGATGTGTGAGAAAAGTCGTCGGAGTTTGAGAGTTGCGGAGGTTCGAAGTATCAGGTGTTCGTAGTTCGTGATATTTCACTTCCTTATGTGACAGCTTCGAGTGGCTGTCTGAGAAGGACCAGGTCGATAATGGTCATTAGGTATATACCGGATCCGATTCGTAATGGAGAAAGGTCTAGCACGCGATTCCGGTCATCTAAAGGAACCTTGTCGAAATAAACCCTCGAATAAAAGCAGGTTTATTAAAAAGACGGAGTCGTCGAAGAGATTGAAGAGTCGAAAAGGTTGAGGTGAGTTGGATGTCTGAGCAGAGTAGTAGAGCTGGAGCAAGTTGAGTCGGAGGAGCAACGCTTCTTTAACGGGCAGCCGGGTACTTTCCTGCGGTACCTGACCGACCTAAGGGCAGGGCGACGTGCAGGGGTGGCGGAGGCGTGGGTGTGGATGCGGTGTGGGTGGGGAGTGGACGCGGGAGTGGATGGGGGTCCTTTTAGCGTCAGCGGAAGGCAAAGTGAATTTCTAGGAACGGTACGTACCTCCAAGGGCGCTGAAATTGGAACACACAAACACCACACACAAACAGCAAGGTAGAACAGCCAGCAAAAGACAATGGGAGAAGCCCCAGCACCTGGAGGACAAGCCTTAGCGTTCGTGGGATTGGCAATGGAAGGTTGTGTGGCACCCAGAGCAGCAGTCCAGAGTCAGACTTGACTCCCCTGATTGCAGCAGGATTGGCAAGCCGGACGCCGGAGTTAATTAATGAGTAGTAGCATACACCGGCCGCTGCAGTGAATATGGCGGCGCCTTGCCTGACCGAACGACCATCCAGACCGAACATCTCGCTGCCCTGAGAATAGACGTCTCCCGCCTGTCGCGATGAGTGCCGGCTGGGCGCGGCTTGGCTGGCACTCAGCACTGGCTTCTTCTAGGTAGCTTTGGACCATGGACCAGCCATCGTCTTTGGGTATCAGCACTGGCACTGACACTGGCCGTGGCCATCGCCCGGAATAGTAGCTGGCAGCAGTTCAGCGAAAGAACCAGCGGCTGCCACGGGGCGTGCGCGACCGTCAGCGGTGAGGCAAATGAGTTCGCTCCGTTTAGTTCCAGTGGACTTGGGGGGGGGACACCAGTCATCCGGGTCCAGAATAATCAACAGCCCCCTCCGCTAGGAAAAAAAAAAAGATTTTTCTTCTAGTGCTCGTGTCGGACGGCACCCATGCCAAGGTACGTGCATGGTTCTACTGCATAGTAGTGATCGGACTGTGTGATGGAGGGTGGCCTATCGGTCTATCGCCGTGGCATTGGCCGTCGACAGCGGTCTAGATCGTCCTGCTGCCCGGCGGAAACACTTGCAACGCACAGTGTCGAGCTGTTCGCAAACAGCAGACGGTAAGCCATTGTTGGAAGGTCTGGAGCTGCTTCACCTTGGAAGAGGAGTCAAGACGAGTCCAACGAGCACTGATCTGCAAGGATGAACCACAGCGGGAGAAGCTTGCCGTAGGGGTCCCCTCCTCCTTTTCCAGGTACGCGCCCACCTCTGCAAGCTCTGCTCCAACCTGGACACCCTCTCACCACACGAGGACACCATCAGCGGCCACGGGTTGATAAGGTGTGACTCCGTCAGCCGCCCTGGTTGGCTGGCACGTCGCTGTCACCGACAGACCGGACTGCTTCCGTTACCCTGAATGCCTGTTGTGCCGGAGGCTGGACGTGTTCGGTGCATACCCGGATTTTGCGACTCGTTCTGCTGTTGCATTCGCTGCACCACCATCTGCATCTGAAATGCCCGGGAGGGTGGTGTGCTTCTTTCGTCGGCTCCGGCTCCTATCTGCCAGACTGCCATTCCAGCTGCAGGCTGGGTTCCGTGATCTTTAGGTCCAGATAAGGTGACTGGTCAAACGACGACAAAAGGAGGCTCTGGTGGACAGCAACCCGCGAATCGTCTTCCGGGAGCCGGCCACGTCCACAGCGGCCACAGTCATCCGCCATGGCTTGCATAGGTGGTAAGCCATGCTCCGCAAGCGTTACGCCAGTCAGTTGAGGAGGCTTTTTGGGGCGCTTTGCTGGGGGAACAGGCCAAAGGATGTGCTCGTTTGGCTGGTGCTTGATCTCCTTCGGGATTAGGAATAGAACAGCAAGCTCAGCTTGGCAGCATCTGCGTTCGCTTCTGCAGCTGCACTTGCACTCGCAATCTGCATGCCAGGGGCCCTGGTGTGTCCACAGCAGCATTGTCCACAGCGGTGTCCGCATCGTCCAGTGTCTCAAACTCGGTCAAGAAAACCCCAGACTCAGAGTCAATCAAGCGTGGGGGGGCCGGCGTCGGAGGCGAACAATGGCGACATGGCTTGTAGGTCAGCTCCAGAGTCGGAATGCTGCCTCCACGGCACACCTCATTGATCGGCAAGCGAGAAGCAATACGCAGCGAGAATGCCACTTGAGAGTGACAATCGCCCGTGCTCCAATCATTTGCGGAGGACTGGAGAGGATCGCATGCGGGTGAAGGTGGTTCTGTAGGGCAGTAGTGTAGGCCAAAAAATGATGTGCGCTGGGACACCATGATGCAGCTCCAGTGCCTATCGACAAGTTTGAGTCTGTTCCCTGGGATCTGATCTCTGGGGCTGGCAGAAGAGAAAGAGGGGTCAAGAGTTGCACAGTCTGTCCTCTTGGTGCTCCGGCTCGTGTTCAGGCTGTTCTTCCAAGCTGACCTCTCGCTTCGGTCTGGTCGGGTCTCTCCAGTCCGTGTCTCTGGAAGCCTCGATCGGTGCGACCGGCGGTGGTGGTGGTGGTGGTGGTTGGTATGCGTAGTAAGTGCGGTCGGGCACTGTAGCCGGCCACAACTGCGTAAGCACCAGATCATCAGGGCAATGAACAGCCTGTTTCTATTTTGTGAAGACGAGTGAGGCACTGCACTGACGCCATGCTGGTGGTGCTGGGTAGGACGGCTTTCCATGCTTGGTAATAATGGACAGGATGGTGTGATCTGAATTCATCATCTTGATTCCTGAGAGGCGGCCCCGTGCCCTGCCTGACCTGATGAAGCTGAAGTGAATCTGATGCTGATGCTGACCTGACGCTGAGCCTGGCATGTCGGCTGGGCTCTCGACTCGTCTCGATGAGCTTCGTTCGGTCACTTGGGCACTCTGTCTGTGGCATGCCATTATTGGATACTCATCAGGTGTCTGTCTGGCGCGAGTCTCGTGCGTAATTTTGTTTAACAACAGACGGCAAGGGGGTCGCTGATGTGAAACCGGCATCGCGGGGTGCATCCGCTTGGAGGTTGGACAAGAGCTTGAAGCTTGCACGTCTGGCTGGTTTTGCTTGGCCGTGTTGCTTCCATTTGCTGCTTTTGGGGGACAATTGCTGGCGACTGACTGCAGACGGGATGGTATGCTGTTCAGTCGGTGTGTCGGCGGTGTGCCAGCCAATTGGCAAGTGACGGGGTGGTGGTGCGGCGTGGGAGCTTCCCTTGTCGTGACCCCCGTGCCCCCCAAGGTTTGCTCATCACGGGACGAAGTGTTGCAACATGGGAATTTTAAAATAAAATCATAAAAACATGGGGGAAATGGATGGGGCGGGGAATCGGGGAAGACGAGGAACGAAGCCGGACCACGATGCCAACCCACGGGCAGTGGACACACCTGCCAACGGGAAGGCGTGCCTTGGCCATGCGGCAGGCGGTAGCGGTCCTACCTTACTTGCCTAGCAGGTAGCTGCCCGTAAGGAAGGAAGGAAGGGAGGGGGGTGGCTCTTTCTTACTCTAGACTGATCCAGCCTCCAGGCCAGGCTGGTCCTTCCTTTTGTCTCTCTCTCTCTTTCCCCTAGTGACTCTTTCCGTGGGTTGTGGCTTCCTCCCAAATTCTGCCCTTGCCCAAAATTGACCACCTGAACTGCCACAGCCCCCCGAAAAAGAACTAGCGCCGTTCAACTCCCGACGGTTCTATTTTGGATCCAATAGAAAACAAGGCCGTCACAAAACATTCCAACGGCAGCATTGCATTCCCTTCCCCGATTTTTCTCCCCTCTGACATTTTTCCCCCAAGAATTGCTTGTTTCCCCTATTTCGGTTTCTTTTCCCCTTTGATTCATCCTCATCTCACCCCCACGACAGCACCGAGATCCCCTGCTTCGCCTCCTCTGTCATCCAGCGTGCCAGTCACTGTGTCTCGCTGCCACCCCGGCCTGCAGCTGCATCGTCTTACCCCAAGCTCGAGATTCATCAAGACTCAGATGCGCACCTGACCATTGTCCATTTGTCGGTCCCCCTGCCCGAGTGCGACCCCGACGCCAGGGAATCCGAAAATCCAATTCCATCCCATTCCCCGGGGGCAGCTTTAGCTCTAGCTACCCGAGTCTCCGACGCCGACATCGCTAAGGCATTCGTACCTGCAGTGCTGCAGCACCTCTTTCCTTCTCCCACCGGACTGGCAGCTGCAACCGCAGTCGCAAACCGGCTTTCACACCGCTCACCGCTCACCTTCGCTGTCACCTTACCTCCCTCACCTTACCGTCACCTGGTCATCGGCTTCATCTTCCCCGTCGTCAGGCCCTGTTCGCCTCACCGCGAGCCACAAACAACACCACCAAGACCGACACGAGCACCACCGCCGTCGCTATTCACACCTCCTATGCTAGCACCAGCATAGGTAGCTAGCTCATCATCTGCATTACTTCCTCACCGGTCCCCGACCACGCCGACACACGCCCAAAACCGCGGCCACGTACGCTCCTCCAACTTACAGCTTACAGCCCGGAGTCTAGGCCCAGGCCTGTCCACTGCACAAGCGCAAGCACAACTCACTCATCCTCCCTCTAAAACACGTCGCACAATGTCCTGAGTCCTGACTCCGTCCCGTCTCCCCTGCCGAGTCATGCCCGTTCAGTCCAAGCCCATCCCCGCCCTTTACACGGTGTATATCCTCCGTTCCACCGTACGCCACGCGTCTCTCTACATTGGCTCGACTCCCAATCCCCCCCGCCGTCTGAAGCAGCACAATGGCGAGGCTCGCGGCGGTGCTGCTCGCACATCTCGTCTGAGCTTGCGGCCCTGGGAAATGGTTGGCCTGGTCTCCGGCTTTCCGGGTAGCATCGCTGCTTTGAAATTCGAGTGAGTACACTTTCCCCTCCCGTCCCGTTCGTCTCGCACGCTACTGCCGCTTATCATGCCTCCCTTCCCTTCGGACGAAGTCTCCCCGAACCACCCCTCTAGCTTACCTTTCACGATGCTCCCTTGCTTTTAGCATATGCTGGTGCCCGTGCTGATCAAAAGACAAACAGGTGGGCGTTGACCAATCCCCATCTCTCCTTGCACATACCTTCTGCGTCGCGAATCGCCGTTTCGACTGGAGTTAAGAAGAATGGCCACCCGCGCCGACCCCGCGCGAGCTTAGCCTCAATTCTCTCCAACCTGCAACTCTTATTAAGCGTTCCGAGCTTCTGTCGGTGGCCGCTGAAAGTCCACTTCTTCGCACGGGATGTATACTCGGCTTGGCAGACCGCCGCTGCGGCCTCGACACAACCCCTCCGGAACTCCCTTCCTGTCGTCACCGACTTCGGCCCCGCCCCCGCGGCATCTTCAGACGAAGAACCCGTGCCTTGGGGAATCCATGCCTTGCCGCTGGACCACGCGCCTATGAAGGAATACGTGGAAAAGGGTCAGTCGATGACTTCGTTTGAGAGGGAGGGGAGCTGTGTTATCTGTAAAGAAGACCTGCCGCATGGCGAGGGCCTGGTTGCCATTTGTCCCAACGACGGATGTGAAGGGGCCGGCCATCTCTCATGTTGGGGTCGTCATTTCCTCCGTCGCGAAGAAGGCGCCCTCCAAGCTGTTGTCCCTATTCAGGGTCGTTGCCCCCAGTGTCGGGGTGAGGTGCGGTGGGTTGATATGATGAAAGAACTGACGTTGCGGGAGAGGGGCACCAAGGAGATTGAAGCCCTTCTCAAAAAGAAAAGGAAGCGGGCGAAGAAGGCGTGAGCCGAATCTCCCACAGAAACTGTGAGAAATCATCAAAATTCTGGCCCTCCTCAGGCAGGTTTGCTTTCTTGAGTCGCAGTGTCAGCAATTCCTTATGCTTCTTGTGGAACAGAGAACAGCTTGTTCGACTGCAAGTTTGCGGTCGTGTTTGGCCTTGATGAACGCTCTGCTCTCAGGTTTGTTCTCAGATTCATTGCAGCAACGCAAGAACAATTCACCACTCCGCTCTTGTCTTTGAAAGTATCGACGGAGCTCGCGATCCGGACTCGATTGTCGGCGCCCACGTTGATCCTAGTACGAGTCTGAACAGCTCCCCGCCATTTGTTGGCACTGGAATGTACGGTCGGGTTGCTAGATGGAATTAAAACCCCCTTCCTAGCAGACCTGACCGATTGCCGGGTGTAGATGATATCCAGCGCTCGGTCGACAAGTGTCGCTCCAGCAAAGTCCGTCTACAGACAAGCTCGACAACGAAGTCAAGACGGCGGGGGATCTGCAACGTCGGTGAGCTTTGGCGCCACGGCTTAGGGTCTCCTAAAGCTAATGCCGCGAACGCTGTAAACGCTGCCACTAGCTGGAATGCGAGTGACGATCGGCGTCCGATAAGAAACATCTTTCGTAGAAATACAAATCAATCCAATCAAGAATAAACTTCCACAAGATTTACGCTTCCGGTTGACTGAGATGTGTCTTGGGAAGGGGAGGCTTTTCCCCGCGTTTCTGGTGTCTGGTTCACCAATGTCTCTTTTCCCCATCTGGGGCAGTCTTGCTTCGTGGTGTCTCGACGCTTCTGGCTGTTGATGGGAATGCTGGGTGACTCTCCGGATGCACATCATGAGTCCTTCGGAAACCCTCCATCTAGCACAGGTACCTGAAGGTCATGAAGTATCGGAAATGTTCAAGAATCAGTTTGACGTATAAAGTGTTGTCTTGGTTTTGTCCGGCAGCGGTGGTCTCTTAGGCAATTCAAATCCAAACCAACAAGTCACTGAGAGTTGTTGCGTCCGGGGTTGTGCTGATTGGCTGGTAGCACGGCCGATGTCTTTCGTACAGGTCTATTGCATCGATGGGGACTCTGTCGTGAGATGTTTTGAAGAAAATACTCAGGCGATGGGCGGGATGAAGGATGAGGCCTGCGCCTGGCGGGATGGTCCTCTCGCTTTTGGTGGAAGCTCTGACAGACGGTTTCCGCTGCTTGCAAAGCTTTAGCTCATGGAAGTAAGATTCCATGCGAAAGATGGCGGTTATTGTGGGCTTGTTGGTCATTCTATCAACCCGCAGATCTGACTTTTTATATGGCACTCAACACATTACCGGCCACTCAGCCAAGGGGCCATGTCCATAGTTCGGATCTCGGCAGTGCTGCCATCGCGATGATGAAGAGCCTCGTCCGGGGAAGCCAGATATCTGGTTTAAAGCGGCGCATTCTAGACCTCTGGAGTTCCGGGAAAACACAATCTCTCTACGCAGCTGAATTGCTCCATGGCGATCGCCCATTTCTGTTTGTACGTCGACGACGCCATAGAAGGGTGGCCGGCGGAAAGGATTCGATTCAGAGGAGTATCACTTCTGAGGTTCTATTGAGAATAATGACGAAGAGAATACACGCATGCCGACGCGGATGAGGCAGAGAAGTTGTGGGTTCAGGATTTGCCGTCCGTGCTTGCGACAACGTGTGGTTGGCTTCCATGCACACTTGACTTGGAGCTTGAGCAGAACATTTTCGGTCACTCTCTTACAGCCTCACATATTGCTGGCCGCTTAATGGAAGGCCTGCAAGCAGATCTTTATAGCTTCCGAGGTGGTTTTCGTAATGCAATGGGCGTAGATCTTCGGCGAGTGGCTGATCAAGCCTACGACAACAACCATGCGTGCAGCAGAAAGGTGAGCGACAGTCTTTGATTTACAATACGCCTAGACCTTGGATATGAATTTTGTATCAAGCATGCTTTTCGGTTGGTAAAAGCAGATGAACAGGGATGCTTTTTCTGGTCGCTTTCTCTCCTCGAACACATAGCTCGTGACCATCCCTCGCAGTTGAAGTCAGGGGGAAGAGGAGGAATAGCTTGCATTGTGTTCCTGTCATACTTATCACGATGACAGAGCATATTCGCGTACATTGTTTGTACAGAAGACCTAACACCTTGAACGCCTTTACTAATGGCGGAAAGGGTCATTAGTTGGTAACTCCGGGAAGCTGTGTCTACTTGTTGCGAAGCGACTTACCTGCGATCAACGTTTCAGGGACAGAGACGGGAACACTGTCATCCCTCCATGGACCCGACGAACTTGCTTATAAGCCATGCCGTGTATCTGAAGTGACTCTTCAACCAATGATGACATGGCGGTTATCGTTTTGATAACCCAAGGATGAACAACGAGGACCAGTTGCATGACCAGTTGCATGACCAGTTTGCTAAGACCCCATCCCCCCTACCACACGAGTACGCGTGACCTTCTTGGTGTTTGATCAAGGTATCTTTCCGGCAGTATTCATTTCTATTCAAGCCAAAGAACGACGATGTTATCAATGAAGTCACTGCATCCATACCTTGAAGGCTCTCATGGGGCTGGGTGATAGATGCCCTCATGCCGCGCGTGCCGATGCCAGCCTGAACAGCCGCATGAGATCTCGTTGTCTCTCATCGGTGTTTGCTTGGTTGCAAGAGAACGTTCACAGGATCTCGCTCTGTCTTTTATACGTAGACCCGACCCCCACCCCAGCACTTAAGGAGGCAGAAGTAGATGAGGCGTCTATGGTTTATTACTTCCGATCAATCGAGAGACGATGTAACTGAACAAGCAAGTTTACTGACCACCCGGTTTCTCGCCATGGCCCATTTGTCTTCGGCATCTCTTCTCGGTCACAGTACAGAACTACAAGCTTCGACGACATCTTTGTGGGCTTCTGAGACCTTCTGCTAAAACTGGCTGCATTCTATAACCTTTACCATGCACGAATGATTTCTCTGCCCGATATCTACTTGACTTCTCTTTAGTACCTGGAGCTCATGAGGTATTTATAGCTAATGCTTCTACAGACTACTACTTCTTCTTGTTCAACAGCGGAAGTGAAGGGGCTGAGCTAACTTCTACGTAGATGAGCTTTGCATCTGTACTGTCATGCCCTTGTCGTGCTTGAAGTGACTGTCCCAGACTCTACGCGGTACTTCGAAGATAATTTGAACGTCCATTGCGTTTGATGGTCACAATACACAATGGGTTCTGACGACGGACGAGGGCATGACAAGATCAACGTAGATGTGCCAGCCTTCCACACAGAGTGTATAGCGAATTCTGGATGGGAAACTGGGTCCTAGCCACAGCATGTACAGGTATGTATCAGTTTCATTCTGGCTGTTGTGGTCATCAAAGCTAGACAATGCTCTTTGGGTATTTATAACGCTCCGGGGGCGAGCCTGGAGCGTTGACACCCCTGGATGTACTATGCCGCTGGAAGCAAGCCTAATACGTATATTACGAGGCTGTCCGTGACAGTGTAATTGAACGCTCTGCAGTTGCCAGACCTCCAGATCGATTCTTCAAAGACTTGATACCGGTACGTGATGAAGAGGGTGACAAGACACCTAAGACGTCACTAGGGCACATCAAGCCGAGAACTGCGGATTATGCGTCGCGAATGTGGGTTTGACATACTCTGTTCCAGGTGCCTGGCATATAAGATGATATGCTGAAGACCCCAGCTAAAGATTTTCCAGACATTGTTTGTGTGGTCTGCCAGGAATTCATTTTCGAGTAATCAATATATCAATACCTATTGCATCTGCTGCCTCGTCCCACAAGCAAGGCACCAACACTAAAAAGCGGCTGTCGGCAGTTTCCTCTGACGATTCCGTAGTAATAGCCATCCGATAGCACCCCTCTGGTAGCCTAATGGAACACGCATGGCTCTACATTGCCCGCCGGGTAGATTCCTGACTTTTCAAGCCCGGCTGTTTATAAACAGACTGATTCTAGCTATCCATCGGCCATATATAGGCCATATTTGGCGAAAGGCTGACTAGTACTCCCATTGCGTCTTAAATATGCATAAAGACATGTGTATGACAGTAGTTGACGGTCACATAAGGAAAACACCACGAACCAAAGGACCTGATATCGAAACCGACTCCCTCGCGGCGGATGACTAAGCCGGGCCAATTGGATGCTTGAAGGCCAGAGATGAGGTGCAGGCCAGGTGTGCTGCAAAGATGAGTCGCCCGCCCCCGCAAACAGGGCTTATCCTCGGCCTTGGACCGATCTGGGACGCTAGGCGGGTTTCTCCAACGTCATACGGATATGATTGGTTCGCTAAGCGATTGATAATGGCTAATCCCTGTCGAGTCAGTGACGGATATCAGATGCTCACTCGGTTTTTTTTTGCTGCAGTTTTTTTCACCTGCGCGCGAGTGGCTCCCCCCCGGCAAGGGAGACTGGAGGTGGTGGTCCGTGGCCACCCCGTGGCAGCGTGGACGCCTGGCACCACCACGACCTGGTCGGCCGCCCCCCGCGAGCCTTGCTGTTGGTGATTTTGGTGGAGGGCGGAGAATATCGAGATGCATCACTGCAGTCACTGTCACAATGCTGACCATTTTGTGAGCAGGCCGTTCGGTATGACGGTGAATGCTGCGTAATCTTTGGATTATTGTCGCATGCTTCCCGACAGTCGCCAATCTGTCCCAAACACCATGGCCTCATCATTGCCGCAATTGACTCCGGCAGGCAGGGCGGTATCCAGGATGATCGCACGAACGGCTTCCATTGGTCGAGTCGGTGGCTCGGCCAGTAGCCGAATGAGCGTCGGACGATCAGCGCAACGACAGCCGGGGGGGATTGAACGACGACGGACTTCAGAGCGCGCACCTAGGAGGCTAGGAGGTGACCTGACCTCGCCGACGAGCCAGATTGAGCAAAGAGTGCTGCAGATGTGCGACCGTGCGCCCATGGAAAACGATTCATGGAACCTCCGCTGCGACGTCGTCGGCCCTGAGTGCGGCGGGTGTTTGTGTTTGTGTGTGTGGTGTGTCTGATGTCGCATGTTCCAAGGTTGGATGTCAGCTTTTGGGGGCGGATGTACCGCGGTACCTGGGCGGATCGGGTGTTTTATGTACCAGCATACTCAGCCTGGGGCAATTGGGGACGGAACTCGAGGGTTAATTTGTCTTTGGGCAGGTGTTTTCAAAGGGAAACGAATAATTATGTACTTTTGGAGGAGATCGATTATTTTGGCGCATGCACTAGGTGGGCTAAACGACGGCTCCCTTTGACATGATGCCCTTTGAATTCGATGCTGCTAGCCGGGTCTGGCAACTGGGACTCTTGTCTAGCTGGGTGATTTGCAAGCATAGCCCAGCATCTCAGAGGATGTTGTCAGGCACATACTCTTTGGATTGTCAGTGGATTGTCAGC